GTGGCACTTGTTACTAGTAGGAACAAGAAGCTATTAGCTTATTGTTTGTCGACGCAGTCGGCAAGGCGTCGTTTTGCATGGAACGCGTAGCGGTATGGCTTAGGCCTGTACATGAGAGTAAAAAGGCGGCGGTCCATCATGACCCTCAATCATGAACCCTGAAACAAGTGCACATCTTCAGCTGACTCTTCTTTATGTTGTTTCAGAGGGGTGCCCTTAAGAAAGAAGGAAACTAGGACCGCTGCATGGTCGCCAATCAACGTTGGCTTTGCATCTGGGTTGCGCTCTTCCAAGATTCTCCACTCGCTCTGGTCACTAGTATCAAAACGCCCGTAGGTGGTTCTGCGGTTGAATTCAGCGGGGTTGAATCGTGGAGAAGCGACTCTGTACGATCGTGCATTTCTGCACACATGGATCGCGGTCGATCCCTGGTCTTTGAGATGCCAACCAGGCTGTTCGGACAGCTTGATGAGGTGGCTCACAACTGGGTCGTTCATGCCCAAAAGGCGTCCGGGCAAGTTTGAAACCTGACTCAACTGGCCACTATGCTTCTTCTTTGAAGATTGCTTTACAAAGCTAGGGTTGTAAGTGAAACACCAAGTGCCCCTACTCAAAACAGCTCTCAAATGGTCGGTCGCCATCTCTTTTGTGCCGCAATCGATGATCATGTTCTCGGTTGCCGTCCACTGCACACTGGTCCTCTCTTTTCGCAAGGCCTCTCGGAGCCATCCAACTGTGAAGCTCAATGACTTCTGCGACCCATAGGTCGGTGTGTCACTGGTGCTCTTGTCGAAGACGTCTTTCGCGTCCGTGATCATTGCCAGTGGGATGTCCTTGTTGTAGGACTCGCTTCTATCGAGGACATCGAAACCCATTGCTTCTGCTAGCAGGCCTCTGCTAAACAGGCCGACATCTAGGGCTTCTTCTGAGCCGAGGAGCTCAGCTCCGTATGTGCTTCGGCGCACCCTCGTGAGCCTGTGACTCCGGGCGTCCATCACAGTGAACTGTCCTTCTCGTCCTGCGAGGAGATCACGATCACCAATCATCACCAAATATGCAGCTTGACTGAATGTCTTGGTCATCATAGTGCCCTCTGCTCCACCGCTCCTGGAAACATTCCCCAGAGAAGCGTCTGTAACGACAACAATTCCAGCTCCGTTCAAATCCAGCTTAGGGAAACGGAGTTTGAATCCGGAATCCTTCTTCATGAGGCGAACCAAGGCGTTCGCTTTGAGCAGGGTCTTTACTACAGGGGGCTCCCCCTGGAGCACTGACAACATGAAGTTCATGTCGAACCTCACTTGTGTGACCAACCACTGCAAGCTTCCGAGTACTGCTCGGAGTTGGCGGTGTTCGGTGGGTGTCAATGGGCTTTCCAATTGCTTCTTGCGCACTACAGGCACCGGCACTGGCTGCAAGTTCTCATGATATGCTTGCATGCTGACTTCAACTGTCTTGTCCGGCAACTGTTTGATTTGTTTGCCACAATAGTTGAAACAACCGGTTTCCAATGACCCGAAACCGAGCTCTGAACCCAACTTGTCCAATGTCCGTTTGGCATAGCTGGACCCCGCCATGAGCAAATCGTCCACGTGGCTAACCAGGACACCTTGCAACTGATTCTTGTCATCATACAAAAACCATTGTGCTGCATCCATCTGGCTCCTCCTCCATCCCAGCTGTGTGACTGAACGATGGAGCCTGAGATACCATCTACGAGGACTGTCTGCCAGGCCGAAAACTCCCTTGCGAACCTTCGCCAGGCTGTCTCTGCCAAAGGGGAGCGTGGGCTCGTCTTCCGACTGGACTCGGATGTTGGTGATGTACAATTCACGTTCACCATCTTCAAATAAATCACCTTTGAGAAATGCTGACTTGATGTCTGCAGACCACAATGTCCATTCATAGCTAGCAGCCATGGTGAACAATATGTGTTGACTGCTTCTTGCACTGGTTGGTGCATCTTTCCTGACATTGTAGGCCGTCTCATCCTGGTACCCCGGAATGACAAGACGGGCATTCGCCAAAAGTGGCATTGGCGAGGAGGCTGACCTTTTGCCGTCATTCTTGTCGGTGTAGATGAACCTAGGGTGCAGGATTTTGTTCAACTGGCCATTGGCCCTCAGCCGATCTTTGACCCTTTTGGATTCTTCCTCTGTCAGGGGCTCGAAGGCGAAATTGTCAGTCTGCACTTTCCAACCTGCCTCAGCTGCCTTGCGGTATTCCTCTCTCTCATGCAGGGGTATAGTCTTCCACTTGATCTCTCGGCGAGCCGTCTTGGCTTCGTTGACTTCCTGCTCTCCGGTGGGCCACAAAGTGCAACTGGTCTCATGAGCAAGCCAGCTTGTTCTTGAAGGGAGAGGCCACTTTCCAGACCAACTGCCGTGGTCGACCACTTCCGTGAAGTTCGGATCGTCTCGATCCCTTTCAACTTGCTCCTTGATGAAGCGGAGTGGATGGATAGCAGCTTTCATGAAATCTTCTTCAAAAGTGTCTTCCTTGAAGGCGGTGACATTCGATGGAACCTGTGCATTCTCAGGATTCTTGGCATACTTTGCAAGTAGGGCATTCTTTGTTTTCAAGACATTCTGGACGACTGCAGTTGTCATCATAACTGAATGAGCCTCTTCACTTGGGGCTGCGGCTGCATCTCGCAACTCCTCTGTGTCCAGCTCGGCTGTTCTCTTCTTTGATGCCGCTTCCTCCTCCAACTCCCTGACATCCTCTATCGACGACTCTAAGCGCGAGCTCAAAGGTGGTGTCTGAGGTGCCGGTGCTGCCTGACTGGCCTGTCGGATGAGTGCAGGCACTGGAGTGCCTGGTGCAGCACTGCCTGATGCCACAGACGACCGTCCCAATGACGACATGGCTGATGCCCGTCGGCTCAATGACCCACTCCCTGGCAACTCTGGTTCGCCAGAAACTGCAGAAATGAACTCCATAGGGCCCACTGGTGGCAAGGCAGGATCTTGTTCTGGAACTGTTGGCAACTGCTGACGTCCAGGTGTTGGGGGTGCCTGAGTAGGCGGTGAGGTCGGGTCAGCTCTTTGGTCATTAAGGGCTGCCTCAACACATTCTTGAATGGCGTCATGCCAAACCTCAGCACTGATTTGCTCCATGCTTGAAGCCAGGCGCAGATGTTCTCTGCTGCATTTGCTGAGTTGGCCCTTGAACGAAACATACCCAGCTGTATGGCCCTCAAGCGCTACCAAAAGCGCGGGCCCGTGCCACCGACGCAGGGACAGTCTTTTCTTGGAAGGAGCCGTCCGGGAATTGTACTTTGACTCTCTCCAAAAATACACAATGTCTCCTGGTTGCAAAGGCTGGGACATGGTGCTGCTTCTGGAACGACTGAGCTCGGCACGTCTGATGCCCCGTGAGAAATGTAATCTCACCATCGCCAGCTTGGCTGTTTCTCTCATGGCGACTTGTCTCGCCAGTCCTGGGTTGGAATCAACTAGCCCATGTTCGGCCAGTCTTTGACCAAAGCTTCCCAAAACATCTCCAATGGCCCTTGGCTGACGGCCGATTGCAGCTTGGCTTGGGGATACTCCGGCCTCTGTGATATCGCCATTGTAAGCGAGGACGCGCTCTTGTATTGCGGTGTTCATCTCCTCCAGGCCGACGACCGAGTGACTCTTCACACAACATTCAAGGAGGCCTTTGAGGATTCCGCCCCCTCTCTCACATATCCCGTTGGCCCATGGTGCTTGGACCGGGATGTGGTACAACAAAATGCTGTGCTCATCGCACATCTGCTGAAATCTCCAGGAGATGAACTCTCGGCCTTGGTCAGCTACGATGACCCTTGGAGGCCCGAAGATGGGCATCCAACGCTGCTTGAACCAAGCGCAGATGCTCTCTGAGTCCTTTCCGGGCATTGCCTCCGCCATTTGGAAGCGGGACACCCAGTCGATGCAATGGATGATGTAGAACTTGTTCTCAGTGATATCTGCGGACTCAAAAACATCGATGTGGACCTGGTCTGACACATCCTTTGGACTTGGCAGCGTGCTTGGACGACGGCTCTTCGGCCTTTTCTTTTCTTCGCACAAACTGCACTTCAATTGCTTGGCTGCCTGAACCACCTCCTTTGGTGCTCCTGACAGCACCAATGCTCTCGCCAGCCGGCGATAGGAACGATGGCCCGTGTTTTCATGGAGCCTCTTCACAGCAAGTCTTGTCGCTGCCGAGATCCTTGTGGACGGGTCTTCCTCCTCGCCCAGGGATGAAATGTCGGACTCCGAATCAAATGGATTCATAGTCTCAGCCGCTCCTTCATCATCGGCCTCGACTTCTTCTCCATCTACGGCCATCACTTCTTTACATTTGCCGTATTCGGCGTGGAACTGTTTCTCCAATCCTTTGACCATGGTTCTGGCCAGCTGAACTGGGTAGTGTCCAGCTGGTGCGGTGACGGCGCTTCCACCGAGCACTGGCTGATGTGGATGGTCTTTGGTGCATACCATCCCACGTAGTTCATCGGCCACACATGTTGAACTCGTGGCCACTCGCGTTGGCTTCTTGTGCAGGAATCCTTTGGCGCTCCTCAAACCAAAGCGACATTGGTCAAAGTCGACCTGTTCCACGGCTGCTGACTCGAGGAATTTTCCCATCTCTGGAATCCTCCACGCCATCGAGCATTTGGGATTCTCGATGATGAAGTGAGCCCCTCTTTTCAACTGCATCTGAGCTAAGACAATGGCAAAGTTCAAGAGGGTACGGCCTTGACGTTGCCGTTCCTCTAATGTTTTGCTTTTGCGAAGTCGGGTCAGAGGTGACCACGGGCTGCAAGGAAAAGCAAGAATGAGGCAATAAGGGTCCTCCTCCAGCACCTTCCGAATGCATGCCTTCCGATCCTCCGGCTGCAAGAAGTTCCACCCCGTCTCTAAGGAAAGGGATGCCATCGCCCGGTGCCCTCGAAGTCTGGCCTGCTTTGCCACTTGTTCCGTGGCGGTGTATACCTCTCCAACAATTGGCTGGGTGTTGAAGGGTTTGTCAGGCGGCTTCTTCCGCCGCTCTGGCCTGAAGTCAATGTTCATCACGAAGTTCTCATTCAGGCATTTGCGAATTGGTGACGCCAATCTTGGTGCATCATCTCGAGGACTTCATTCTTTGACTTTGACACGGCTTGGCGCTCTCTGCAATGGCGCTCCCATGCCTGACCAATCATCTGGGCTTGTCCCTTTTTGAGCTCTTGGTGTATTGTCCAAGGATTGCTCTTTGAGCCCATCACGGGTTCAGGAACGGCCCCTTCAGCAGGTCCTGTTCGTCCTGCTGGATCCAACCGACTTGTTGGAGATTGAAGTCGATTTTCTCCTGCTCGGTCATCTGGTCGAAGTCCCCTACCTCGAAGGCTTTTGCTCTTTGAACCTCCTCCATCGTCCAACCATGTTCCCCCACCTGTCCCATGGCCGTGTCGCTGTCGGAGGCTGTGAGGTCGTAACTCATTGGGCCCTCCGTCATGAAGGCCGGGCTCATCGGATTGGCCTGCATGCCTTGTTGCAAGGACATCATATGCTGCATCACTTGGTGCAACATCGCTTGGTACTTCTTGTCCTGCTGTGCCATCAGGTCGTGGATGTCCTGGATCTTGAGGCCTGGTGGTTGGGTGGTGGTCCCAACGCTGGTCGATGGAGTGCCTGGTGCCACGGATGGGGTGACTGGTGCACTGGCTTTGGATTTGGCGGTCAAATGCAACGGTGGTTCTTGGTGAGAACTGGCCCCGCCGCTGGACTTTGCTGGCATAGGTGCTTTTGCCACGATGTCCTGAACCACGGGTTTGATCTTCTGCTTCAATTCTTCGACCGTGATCTCGTCGTGCACCTGCACTTCCACCAAGGCTGCCAACTTCAATAAATCGGCCTTCAGAGCCGGTAGCCCTCCTTTTGGTCCGATCAATGAACGGACTGCCTCCAGCTGTTTGCCTGCCTCCACGGCCTTCTTGGCGGCAATCTTGGATTCCGCAATTGCTTCTTGGCGGATGCGGCTGGCCATCCCCTTTGAGCTCTTGGCTGCAAGCATGCCCAAAAGCATGGGATCTTCGGTGAACGCCAGCTTCCAACCGAGCCTGTCCCTCAGCCACATGCAATCCTTCAAGTTGCTGGCAGTGAAGGCCTCGGCATGAAGAGCCTTTTGGAAATGCTTTTGAGGGAGTGCTCCATTCGTCACCATTTGCTGCGCTTGCAATTGCCACTGCCGTCCGAGACTGATGGACGGGTAGGGTAGTGGCAAGTATCGCAGCCAGGGCCGCCGACAAAGCCACAAGGCAATGCCTTGCACGTGCCAGAGGAGTCTTACTCTTAGCCGCACGACCATTCTTCGCCACGTTCCCGTGGCCTTGCCGTCCTCCATGATGGATCTCGGGAGCAGAGGCTCGACCGAGTGATGTCGAAGATGATGGAGTCGATTGCTTCTGAGCTTGAAGCTTGATCATCTTTTGAGCCAATTCGTGGGGTGTCGAAAGGCTATCAACTGGAAGGCCAAGCAATGAAACATCCGCAACATGCAAGCTTTGCTCTGTCAACAAATGCTCATGACTGTTTGCAACTGTTTTCGAAAACAAAGACTGTAACGCATGAAGTTTCCGACTCATCCACTCTTGATGCGAAATCTGCAAAGCAACAACTCCGTCTTGACCCACTCTTCTCCAACGGCCCGGACCTGGTTCCGGCCACGTCTTTGGGATGAGCCGCAATGCAAAGTGTCCTGCAACCAGCTGATGCAAACCAATGTGCTTCCCACTGAGGTGATCTGCACGCATGACCTTCTTTGCAAAGCTCAAAGAACACAACCAATGCTGTCCAGCCAGTCACGCCCCAACAACAAACCCAGGCTTGCAACGGGAACCACTGAAACCCAAGTAAGAACGAGGTCTTCACCAACCATCATCGGCAAGCGATATCGAATCCCGCTCTTCTGAGTCCCACCGTCTCCAAACCTGAAAGTCTCCTCTTCGGTCTGTTCTGCCACCAGCTTCCTGATGGCCTGAGGCGCTGCTTGCAATGCACGAAGATAGTGATCCAACCACACAGTCCCACAACATGTCCGGTTGCACGCACTGTCCAATGCCCCCATCAACTTTTTGTCCAATGCAAGCGACTGAACTTGGTTTGCACACACCTCAAATGAATGCGACAATGCCTCTGACAATGTAGATGGCCGAAAGATGCGAACCGCTGTCAACACCTCATGTGACTCTTCTGTAAAATCAACTGCGTTGTCAACTTCTGTGGATAGAGCTTCTGTCACACGAACATGCTTCTGTGGCTTCGCTCCTCCCTTTGGCTTATATAACCCAGCTCCGGGGTTAGGACATCCGTGATCTCCTGCCCAATGACCGGTCTGGCCACAATCCCAGCAACTGGATTTGGATTTCTTTCCATTCACCTGGTTTCCCGTCACGCGGGACTTGGCACTAGCAACAGCCGACGCCGATCCAGAAGCTCTGCCATAACCTCTGTCCTTCTTGATCTCTGCGATCTTGCTCCTCGCCTCCCGCATAGTCACGAGAGACTCTGCTGCTTGCTCAACTCCAGACTCCAATCCCTCGATCACATCGGGGGACACTCCTTCTTGTTCAAGCTCTTCCAATTCGGCAGCTAGGACTTCAGCCTCGGATTGCAACACTTCTTCCAAGCTTTTGCCAGGTTCATCTTGATCTGGCACAAGCTCCTCCTCGTCGTCCTCGGCCTCCTCGTCCTCATTGGGACCTTCTGCAACCAACGCTGATCTCTGAGGAACCTTGGGAGCAGGTTTGAAACTTCGTTGAGACCCACTGGAAAATGAGGATCTGTACGACTTGTTGCCACCAAATGTAGAGCCTGCCTGAGATGGCAGCGAAGTCTGGTGTGTAGAGGCCCCTGACTGTGACGACTGGCTCAAAAAACGGCCCAACAAAGGTGAACGATCCAATGCAGTCTTCTTATGCAACGGGTCCTCACTGTGAAGGTCGCGAAAGAGCCGGAGAGCCTCTTGTTCTACCTCCTCATAGGCCTCTCGGCCTCTCAAGGCTGTGTCTAACAGCTGAATTCGAATGGCGTCCAAACCCATTCGATTCCGCAAAAACCAGCCCAGCTCGTCTGAATGCAATGTAATGCCCTCTCGCTTCATCTCTGAGGTCAATGTTCGAAACCTTGAACAGAAAGCACTTATCCTTTCCCCCGGAAGCCGCCTCAAATCAGTGTAAAACTGCTTTCGAAGTTCTCCCTTCCGGTCCAGCATCGTGCGCCCCATGGACTCCTCCAAAGCCGTCATCAGCTTTCGAATGCCTGCCCAAGGGTCTGCAGGTTCCAAAACAATTTCCTCTTTTGTATCGGGATCTTCCCCACGCACTTCAGGAGTTCCAGCCAATTCCGCTGGGGTGAACTCTTCACAGCTGGCCCTGACAACACCTGTCTGTCGCAATGTCCAACGTGCTGCAACATTGTATTTGAGACATGTGCTAGGGTCCATTGAAGCTTGCCACCATTCCATCTCTCGTTTGAAAGCTCTGAATCCAGCGGGGTTCCCGTCCCAGGTCGGCACCTTATACCATGCCGAACTGCCTTTCTCCTCTGCTTCAGCCATCCTCGATGTTCGAGGTCACGCCAACAAAGCCAAGGAACTGAAACTGTAAACAAAAAACGGATTCCGGTTCAGCCTCTGTAAGCAACCAGCTTCACTGTAAATTGCCCACACCAAACTCAACCAGACAACCTGTATGAAACAATGAATTCAAGTTCCCACCAACCAAATGGGGCCAAGCGCTGCTCTTCCCAAATGTCAATGACAACAATGCTCAATGCAAACAAACCAAGGCAAGCAAAAGCGTAAAAGCGAAGCGCGCCCAGATCAACCCAGCTCCGGATACCACTGTCGACGCAGTCGGCAAGGCGTCGTTTTGCATGGAACGCGTAG